ATCTCATCTCTGTTTACTTATTGGGAGTTAATGACTAGTGGTAATGCTTACAACGCCTGCAGAGCAAATGAGACCTTTCCCTCCAAATTACAGCCCAGTTAGTGGCACAGAAACAACAACGGCGACTTGTATTTGTGAAAAGGCTGAAAAGGAAGTTAAAAGGGTAGCATCGCTTGACGGCAGGATGACGACACCAATGAAAGCTAGATACAGATCTGTGAAGGTTGGTTTGAAAGACGTGATTCTGTTATATAGTGGGTTGTCTGACAATAAATGGAAGTGTTGACTGCCAAAATTGCGAAACTGGCGATATGATTTCCTTTCATAATCTTCAACCGGAAGCTACCTTTTCAGAAAGTAGAACAGGCTTCTCAATTTTGGAACAGTTAAAAGTCACTCATCAACTGAAATCTAAATATTTATACAACAAATGGCTAAATGTACCCAAGTTTGAAAACTTGTTATGTAGATGAAAGAAGTGTCAACTTTTTTGAGCTTCGTTAGGCTTATTATAGTGGTTATTGGATTAAAATTTAGTCGCTTTTGTTCTCAATACTTCTGTGAGTTGAATATTTCCATTTTCCTTTCCATAAAACGGTAGCACGTTTTCGAAAGAGACAAATCACGAACTGTCAGAATAAGATTTTACTTGGCAGAGATAACTAATTTTAATCTCTAAAGTAAGGGGTTGAATCCGCGGTTAGGTAAACGCCAGTGCAAAGTCACAGTCACCTTCCATGGCGAACGTTGCGTTACAAAAAATAAAAAACGAAAGCTGTTTGAACAATGGTTAGACCAATTAAAATAGCTTGGATAAACTTGATGCATGCTGTGAAATTGACCCTCAACTCACCTACAACATTTGCGCTTAAAAACCCGAAAGTAAGGGAGAAAATCGCGAAGTTTTCGGAGCAGACTTTTACATGTCCGGGTCCTCAAATTTTAAAATCGAACACTGCAGTCATGGTTGAAGTCACGTGCAGGTAACGTAAGTGAAAAGTCGGCCTGGGAATTGCGTTACAAAAAAGTTTCAACCGACCAATCACAGAAAAGCAAGATGCGTGACATGTAGAATGACCTTTGCTCGTAGCTCGTAGTTGAATCACATGACAAGTCATGTGCTTGCCTTGTGTACTTTATTCTTGCGTCAGACGAAGTTCCTGTTTTGCGCCGAAACCGGTAATCAACGCCATACTCCTCTCATGTAGATGCTTTGTAGACCGTAATTTCGCTTGGAATACATCCCGGTTTGCCCTTCATTCTATGGTTAAAAGAGAGAATGACTATATCCAAAAGGGACCGTGAGGTAAAGTATGTTTTCAGAAACGATTCAGTTTGTGTGTGTGCGGTATGACAAATTATCGAAGTGCAAGATTTGGCGCACATATGTTTGTAGTTACGAGCCGTTAATTTTGTTTGTCATCTCGATACTAACATCTTCTTTTCCTTTTTTTCTGGAAAATGTCGTTTTTCCTCATAAATGTTTTTTAGTTGTATTATACGAAATAGTTTTTACGTTTCTAACTATGATGTAACTGGTGCAGTCTTCCGAGTGAACTGTTAAATTTTGGTGTTGATTTCTTTGTTCTTCAGACCGTGAAGGTTCTCGTGAATAACCCTAAACTTCATATTTGCTCCCGTAGCAAGTTTGTTGACTATGAGATTAAAATAGAGGTAGGTTTTATTCGGTAAACAAACAATATTTTCGATCGATTGTAGTTGTTGCTCAACAAGGATGTACCGGTATTTCCCCGGGAGGGTACTCCCTTACAAGGGCTTAATCGGGACGTGCAGCCAGCCAGGGTATGTTTTTCGAGATTTTTGTCTTAAACAGGGTATCGGATTTATCATTTTTTGTCTTAATCAGGGTATCGATTTATCAATTTTTGTCTTAAACAGGATATCTTTTCTTGGAAGATAAACAGCAAAATTTTTACAAGCTCTAATTTTAATTAATATTGAATTCCGTTGATTTTGGCATTGATACCAGGCACATTAAATGTCTTAAACAGGGTATCAAAAATCGGAATTCTGTCTTAAACAGGGTAGGAAAATCAGCGATATTTGTCTTAAACAGGGTCAGGGTATGAGGGGCCGCGCTGCACCTCCCCACCCAGGAATATATCGAGTACCCCCCAGGCATATTTCTCGTACAGCCTGCTTACATATTTGACATTCTGAGGTTAAATGCTTCTTGTTTCTGTTTAAGACTAACAACAAAGCCTTCTTCAGCAAATGCTCTTGTGTTAGAAGAAGATATTCTGATTTTTGTTGGCTTAGAGCAAAGCTTTCCAGCACAGATATCAGTGGATTAGGAGGGTACGTTACGTCGATCTTGTGACACTAGTCATGTAATGATTACACGGAAGTTCTTACTACTTTGCTGTACCATCTTTTGATCAGTAACGAGCCTAAACTAGACATTCAAGTTCAGTCTTCTTATTTTTTTCATCTGTTCATCTTTTGAACCAAGAGGGAATGGTGTTGGTAAACATATATTGTCATTTGCAGTTGACTTTTTACCCAGCCTGGCTGTTGTGGTGGCGAAAATTTGTATCGTATACATGATTTCCTGGAATTCTGTTGTTCCCATCATTTCATGTCATGGATGACTTTGTGATCATTATTCTTACCAGAAAATTTGCGATAAAAATTATAGTCTTTTTTTCTTTTATTCACTTATGATCTTTACCAGGTTTTTCTAGTGCTCTGCTTTGTTCTCTCTAATCCCTTGTCTTCTTTCATCAGGGAAACTAGTATTCCAACTCTACCTCCTAAGAGTTATTTTAGCAGATTTGATAAAGATGTGATTGATTCTAGGCAAGAAGGGCTTCAACATTTCCTAAGCGAGTGAGTATTGTCTTTGGATGTGGCTAGAAATTTTGCTGGGAAACTATGTTCTCAGTTGTCTCATGAGCATGAACGAGCCAGAGTAAGATGTGCTTGAACTGAACTTAATGGATAGGAAGAAAAATAATAGGGCAATTCAAACGATGATCCTGGCAGACTGGCTGAAGTTTCAGCAATGGCATTGGAGAAGCCTAAAAAAAATTCTGGCTATGATGGAATGTGAACTAGTGCCTCCCAGGTAACAGTGGAGGCTACCAACTGACCTACCAAGCCACAGGTTGGAAGCAAGACAAATTGTTGAGTGTTCATCTTTTAAAAAATTGCAAACTGTGGAGGTTGCTTAGTGCCTTATAGCCTTAGGCTTTTGTCATCTTCATGAAAGCATGCAAAATTTTGGGTTGGGTACATGCATGTTTCCTCCTTTTTGTGCAATGTTATGATACCAATATCTCTCTGGCTTAAAATTAACTTAAATTCCTATAGCAGAACAGAAGCTTTTAATCTAAATATTGAGGCCTTAACACTATGATTAAGATAATGACTTACAGATAACTTGCTGTTATCTGACTTCAAGAGAGTTGCATCACAACACATCAAGGGTATTAACATCACTTTACATCATGCAATTAACACCATGCCGTTAACATGTGCTTAACACCTAGCTATTGATTAACCACTGTTATATTCATGATTTGACATCATTATATGTAGTATTGGAAGACCTGGCACAATTGCATAAGAATGTGAAAGTGGCACACAACTATTTGACTACAGCAGGATATTCAAGTTGTGTTTATAAGTGGTTGACCTCCTTCGAATGTTTTGTTTTTCAGAATTTTCAAGGTAAATAATTATCTTTCATTTACTGGTCTTCACTTATTCCTACAAACACAGCTTCCAATACAAGAAATTGAAGGCTTTCTTGAAGGAAAATATGGAGAGAATGCTTCTGCTGAAGACTTAATAAACCCTCCAACTCTTTCTAACTCAAGTAAAGATGACAAAACATCATATTCATGCTTAAATGAAGACTGTATATTGTTGACATCCTCCAACTTGGATATTCCTTCAACAGACAATGCTTCAACTCATTCAGGGTCATGTGAAGTCAATTCTGACAACTGTCTATCTGATAGCTATAGCACTTCTTTAGAGTATCTGTCAAGCTCTGCAGAAAACAGCTCTTTCATGTACACAATGTACAGATAACTCAAAAACAAGAGTTACTTCTGCCACTCTAGAGACACTCTGATGCTCTTTAGACAAGGAATTTGACATTGAAATTTTACTCTCAGCTCTTTTTTTCTTTAATTAATTAGCTAAGATTATTTGAGGTTGTGTGGTTTGTTTGACTAAAATCAAAGTTTAAAGCACATTTGATGAAGAAGGAAAGGGTATTTAAATTTTTCAAAAGAGAAACTCACATCAATATTTCATCATTATACTTTGTATAATTTATTGTTATTGTAACAACTTATTAACATTTCCTGTATAAAGATGTCTATCTAGAGAAATTAGTTTATTTTTGAATATTTTTTATAGTTATACATGACAATTTCTTTTCTTATAGAGTAATGCTGGTGAAAAATACCCAATGAAATGTTATTTACTTTGAAAGAGCTATTAGTAGTGTTCTGATGGAAATGTTTCTGTATATGTTCTGTGGGAATGGGCTTTTATGTGTAAATGCACAGGGAATATTTAAAATGTACAGTTTCCAAGCTAGGAAGAACTGCAGTTGACAATTTGAAATTAAATGTACAGTCTTTCTCTGAATTATCTTATATTCACAGTGAGTTGTAGGCAAGTCTTGTTAGTGCATGGGACTGTTCCAAGCTAATGCAAACCTTATGCATTCTTTCATTTTTCCAGCTAAGTGCAGGTCATTGCATTATTTTTAGTTCTGAAATTAATTCTTAAACTGGGACATGGAGGAAGTAACACAAGACCTCTTTGTTACATTTGAAAAGAAAGACAATGCTTCTGTTAAGAATAAAATTTTAAAAAAGATGTGTACACGGATGTGGGATATTTGATGGCAAACATTGAGCAAAATCTTTGGAACAGCAGGGCTTGAAATACAGGGCCATCCATTGGTCAAATAGCACAGGAAATTTAAGTTTTGGGAGGCTTACCTAATTATTGACTGCTTGATTGATCTTAAACTGGCAAGCAATTAGTGGATTTTAACACTAAGCACTTCTTTGTTTATGAATTGAGTATCCAAATCAAATTGTCACAGGAGGTTCCCCTAAATGTTGAAGCCTTCTGTTAGATGTACAGAGGCATTACAAAATGAGCTTTAGTCGTGTACCTTAGCATGATAAGCCCCTTTATGTGTTTGGGGTTAAGGATGTAATCATAATTAAACGGTCTTTCCTAACTGAAACCTTTTTGGAAACTCTGATTCAACAAGTTTCAGCAAAACAAATTTAGAGAAAGGAGAGAGTGGCTCCATAAAGGATACTACACTTTCCTTGGCTTGTATCAATTTTCAAAGAAGTTGGGAGTTTTACAAAAAAATTTGTGTAAATTATGAATTTTTGGGAATTATGTGAGTCTGACCATTTTTAAAACTCAGTCAAGTAAAATATTTGGCCTTTTCAAACATGAATGTTTAAAATTCTCTCATTCAAATGAAATTTAAGACAATCAGTTCACACAAAAACAAAACAACCAAATTCATGAGTTAAAATTTTTACTTTTTTCCAGTCTTGACCAGCCATAAGTGAGAAAAGATGACATCACATCTTATTTGTTGAAGGCTTATAAGTGGTCTGTATTATGACTTTTATCAACCCTTATGAAGTCCATGTCCTATCATAACCCTGTTCAAAACCGAACCACAGCCTTTCAAGAATACACATTTTCAAAACAGTTAAATAGCTAGGAATTCATAACAAAACAAAATGGTTCATGAATCGTGTTTAATTCAGCTCTTCATTGCTTAAATAAAAAATTAGTTCACATGGACGTGAAAAGATTTTATCATTGTCAATCAATATTTGCGAATAAAGCAAAGCTTCAGTCATGATTGACGAGAAAAAAAATCGCCCAATCTCGCTTCACTTAAAAAGTAAAGGAGACCTGGTTTGTCACACTAAAATGTTTCACTAGGGGTTAACACACCTGAAATCCTCCATCCTTGTTGTTTTTTCTTGCATAGTCAATTGAGAAATAACTTTTCACCACCCTGAAAATCATTGAGACAGATGGCCTGAGTGCTGGACTCTAGGGGAGAGAGATCTGGGTTTGAGACCTGTGTAAGTCATTCCACTGTATACTGTGGGACACTTCATTCTCAGTATGCCCCTCCTTACCCAAGTATTTGAATGGCTACTGTCAAACTGTGAAGTAAGCTTGATGGGGGGGATAACCTAACATGGAACAGTATCACATTAAGGGGAGATGGACTTGTCAGAATAGCAGGTGTGGAATAACCACAACAACAATTCTACAATAAAAACTTTTCCTTTATTTTTTGGAGACAGAACTCACAATTTGTTGAACAACATGACTTATTTTCTAATTTCTAATCACTGCTGACCCTCATATTTGCAACTATAGCGAACAATGTTTTGGCAACAAAGCTGTGCAAGTGCACCAGGGCCACACAGCTTTTTCCAGACCGGCTTGTATCACCACATCCAGCCTTACCTATGATTTTCTATGGGATTGTACGAGCAAGGCCATATGGTGCTAATGTGATGCTTTATTCAAACCTTTTGCAGAGAGCTGAATTACAGGTTTGTTACAATGAGATGTTGTTAAGGTTGAGAACAGACGTTGGCATTTTCTCTGGTGCCTCTGGCAGCCGCTTCAGTCCATATTGATCTCACCTTCCCACCCATCCCATCCCAGGGGAGGACATCCATCACACAGTAATCTCGTGTGTGGGAAATTAACGTCTCCTACCCCAACCCTGCTGGAGACGGGAACGGATGCTACTTATTCCTATCTTCAATCTCCTTTGCTACTTTGTTGGGACATATAGGTTGTTTTTCTTTATGTAGTCGATAACAGGGTCTGGAATCAAATACTTGACACTTTCACTTCTTCTTATGGCTCTCCTGAGAAGAACAACAATTATTTCAATTACTATAGATTACTTTTATTAACCTTTACATCTTTCCACCCCTAAGAGTGACTAACATCTAATTTCTCCCTACAATGTCACCCCCGGTTCAAACATGAAGGTCACAAGAATAAAGGAAATGATCACCAATGAAGAAGGCTTTGATTGTTAAACAAATTCATCTTGTCAGCACCTTAGCAAATGTAGATAGAACAGTATGGAGAATATGCATACTGATGTTTGGAGGTAGAAAGTCAATTTATTTCTTTTCACTACTTAGCAGTTGCAGAAGTAAGAAATAGATCTTTTAATATCTGCATAAGATGAGGTTAATGGGGCTACATTCCAAAAGTATTTTTGACTTTCAGTTGTTGCCCTTGAAGAACTAGTTTGAGGGGGGAAACATTCTCCCAAGGTAGTCAGAATAAACCAAAAGGGATTCCACTCTGACAAAAATCCTCTGTGTACACTGCTGAAAAGTCTTAGTGCTGTAATATTCTTGATAGTGGAGCTCGCAGCACGCGCAATGTAGCCCCATAATTATACAAAATAGTAGTAGTAACCCATCAAACCGAAAAAATTTGGACTTATGGCCATACAGGTGTCCGTACAAGGTGCTACTTTTAGCATGCATGGTCAACTGTACCACGGGCAAGCCAACGCCACAGCTTTAGTCTTGTCCAGCCGGCATTTGAGCACAACACGCGCATTATACACTTGTACATAGCTGAGGAGACTCTGGGTTCAAGATGAATTTAGTGGATAGTACATTAACTTACACAGCCAAGAGCTGTGCGGGCTCATCCTCGCACTTTATCAACAGTAGGAGCTTTAGTTTTGTTAACGAGATGTGCAGGGAAAAAAAATGTGAGCTCTGCTTTTAGGCTTGGCTAAACCTATTATTATTCTAAATGTCAGTCTTGAAGTTGCAACAATTCATGTTATTTCACTAGTCAAGAACAGAGAACTTTGACAGCCTTCCTTGCCTTACTAAGTTAAAGGAATCTATGAATTGATTTTACCTTATTTTTGTTGCACTAACATCATTTGATATCCACTCAGTGACAATGTGAATATTGTTCTGTTGAGCATGAAAAAGGAAAGTTAAAATACATCAAACTCTTGCAAAATGTACTATAAAATAAATGATAAATAAGAAGACATTTTAACAGATTTCTGCCACAAATAACAATTATCCACTATCATTAAGTCTAGACAATTGCTGCAATATCAATAGTGAAAAGTTCTATGACCACAAAACATACTTGAAAAAATCCACGAAGAAAACATGCACAAAGGAGGAGGATACAAGTCAGAAGATAGATTAATGCTATTAATAATAAGCAAACAATTACCTTTTACACTTAATGTATTTTAATTTATAACACTAAAATTGAAAAAGTTGATATAAACTTACTTTGTACTTTGTTAGGACATCTGACTCATAGATGAAAGATTCTGGGTTTGATCCCACTCGTGATATGACAACAAGGCCATGTTTTCCTACAATTTCTTCAATCTGCTCATCATGAGAAGCAAAACATACAAGATAGTTATTTATATAATAATAATTACTTGTCAAATTATCAATCAAGGAAGATTTAAAATATTAACAAAATAGGGAACACTGATTTACTTGAAGTTACTAATGGCCACCCTTCACCTAGCAACCACCCCAGAGTCAGCCTTCCAATTCAATGGAAGAGACTTAATAATCACCCCACCCACTATTCCCTACAGAGGACATATCTAGTACCCAATCCCAGTTGAGTGCCCAGCGTATCAACTCCCACCCAAAACAGCATTCACTAGGATGATGTTTCTGTGTGGACAAAACAGCAAAATAAGAGCACCTGAGTGCTTCTGAATCAACAAATCAAATGGTTGAGTAAAACAGTCTTGTCACTGAAAAGTTTCTTTCAGTAACAATGCTATTATATTTAATTATATTCAGCTTATTATCTACTGAAGAATCAACTGAACTTAAGTTCACTAAATCTCATTTCAAGGTCGAGCCGAATTCATATTTCTTTGAAAGGTTTTATTCAAAACACATAATTTCAGAAGCTTAATCTTTAATCAAATATTTTCTATAGATTTTTACTACTTACGTCTTCATCTGCCCACAGATTGGGGACTGCAAATGATTCCAACAGATCAGCTCCACAAAGTAACTTCACTATGGGGGGACTGGACCCTTGTGGGAAAAAATCAGTTTTCACAAAAAATAAAAATTACTTGGAGTGGTCTGAGATTTGAAAGTTTAGAAGAGAAGGACACATTCTCATGATTATCATCAAACAACATAGTCTTATTCTCTTGTTTAAATAACCTAGCAGTTCAGACTTGTATGGGAGATAAAGTAGCCTCTCATATTGACATCCTTTAAGTTTTGTCATGAATATATTCCCAATTGGGAACATATAACAAGGCCAACTGGGTGTCCATGTGGGAAGCTAGAGACATGATACTTGAATAATGAGTAACTCACTAAACTCTGGATGAAAATGTCTTGCTACGAAACCTAGCCAGGATTATTGTTTTCTTGGTAAAGACCCTTTACCGGTACCCTTACAGTTCTCTTCTCCACCCAGGGGTACAATAGAATCACTAAGGAATCATCAGGAAAGCCTTACAAAATACTGGTGGGTAACCTGCAGTGGACTAACATTGCAAGGAACAGCCATACTCCCAGTAGGTTCATGCTACAAAGTTTTACAGCAGCCAGGTCTTTCCCACAAATTCAAATCTCAAGCAATCAGGCTGGAGTTGTTGAAGATTAATGAGAATACTCTGTTCCTATGAAAAATAACCAGCAATTTGTATTGGCTTTCAATCATTTTCTCTTCATCAACTTAATTGACAAATTCTACCTAAACATTAAAACCCACAGCTCAGAGTAGTGATTGAAGTACCAGAGACAAAAAAAATCCCTTTCATTTGCTTGTCATCCAAGTCAACTTTCTCTCTACCACATCAAATATATTACATGAAAGCGCACTGTATATTACCTGGAAATTTAGTGACAACATCTTCAGTGAAATGCTTTAAAACTTTGGCTGTTGTGGTCCAACCAGCCTGCTTACTCTCCCATTCATCCACACTGCACAAAAAAATAATTGTCAGGAAATGTCATGATGTAATAGAACAACACAGAAAAATGAATCAAAGTGAGAGGTGTTACCTTATCCAATCAGATGTTTGAACTCCAAGTTTACACATTTGTATTCTGTGTTCCGATTCACTTAGGTCCTAAAGTGATTGAATTCCAAATATCAGACTAGATCAGAGACAAAGGTGCTAAAAGTACATTTTGAGTTAGCTTCTACAAGGTTTTCCTCAGATGGACACAGTCAGAAAGCCTGTAAGTGCAAGACTGTGAGGTTCCTTCTCTCAGTTGCCCCTCTCCCTCTCCCCCCCCCCTCTCCCCTAACCAAGTGTCTTGCACATGCTCATTGTAGGTATATGGGAACATAATGAAAAGTAGGAAGACTACTGGCGGTTGTGACAAGTTGTGTGACTTTTTTTTATAATACTCTAACATGATTCTGTCAATCAGCTTTGTATGCGTCATTGTCCAAGCATGTGCAAGGACCTTGTGTTATTCCAGGAGCAGCACGTAGTTCGGTCGTCCTGGCGCAGTGGGATTTTTAATAAACCGTTTAAACCTTTATTTGCCGTTTCTTACAGCGGTCAAAGGGGATCAGGTAAAAAGCAGAAAATAAGAATTTTGAACTTGTTGGGAACTGAATAGAAATGGGAAAATCTACAACAAGATTACCACCAAGGAGAACTAGGAGAAGTGGGGAGGAAAGACAAGAAGGTAAAGGATGCACTCAGTTCAGACTTTCTTGTTCCTTTCCACCTGGAATAAAATCTAACCTTACAGTTCCCTGTAACCCTTTAACCCCTAATTATGAGTGCCTGGCTTCAGATTTCTCTTCACCCTGGAATCAAAAGTTAAGTTCATGAGAAAAAGGGAAATGATCACCAATTCAGGAAGCTCCTGATTGTCAAATAAATTTTGCCTTGTCAGTACCATAGGAATTATAAAGAGAACGGTGCATGGAATATGCTAATATTAGGGCGTAAAGGGATAATGAGAGTAAACTCTTATTCCTGATTACACAGGTGCCCTTGAGTCATCTATCGTTAGGTTATACAAAACCTTCAATCTATTTGTGATGGGCTGCAGATGTGCGATGCCTAACTCAGGTGAACTATTTTTTGCATTAAAATGGTGAAATCTGTCTTTTGTTTCAAAAGAGTTACATTTAAATACAGATAACAACTGTTTATTCAAGGACGGCAGCCAGCTGATATCAAAGGTGTCATTGGCAAATATTTAGAAAACAATATGTCAATAAGTCCCAATCAAAACCTGAAAGTTGTTGACAAAAGATTAAATTGCAGTTTACAATTCACTAGCCTTTTTCTTGTATCCATCATTCACCGGAGAAAATATTCCTCGTACCACAGTATAAATACCCGTTTTGTGAAGAGCATCTCGAGCAATTTCTGCAAAATCAGACCAAAAAAGAAGAAATTGAAGGCTATCTCCAAAGAGCTAACACGAACTGGGAAACAGAAACATGTACAACAAGTAACCGAAAAAAAAAAGTTATATTCCTCAAAAACCGCATCTTTACCAAACATCCTCAGGTGTAGGAAAGTGATAGGATTAAAAGAGCCGCAACTTAATAATACAACTCTAGTTTTCGAAGCAGCCGCCGCCATCTTCAATTCATAAGTAATCGATATATCGATAAAAAAATATCGATTACCCCTAACGATGCCCCTGGTTACGTTGCATCCCATAATACTCTTCGTTTCAAGGAAGGAAAAACATGGAGGACATTCGATGAAATATGGAGATTAAGGATGTAATCTCAGTATCTGTCTGTTTATGAAGGAAGCACCGTCTTCGATCTCCTTTTTTCCGATAAAGCCGATGTCAGAGATAATTATTCATTCTTTTTCTTCTTCATAAGGTTAGAAACATTGCTAAACAAAGGACAAACGTTTTAGCAATGAATGTTCGCGAGGAAAGAAGCGCGCTATGATTTGTTGAATTGAAATTGGATGTCATTTCCTTACAAGTAATAGATTAGTTCATTTGCACTGTCATCTGAAAAGGACGAGGCTAGAGTGGAATTTTTCAGAGAATGGATACAAGAAGGGAATACAAATGCATGTATATGAATATATTGATGTATGTTTTGTAGTTCTGACCATGTAGATGGGTTGAATAATTTATGAAATATTAACCACAACAGGAGATGTCAAAATATAGCCTCCGAGGGACGCGAGTAGGAATCAGGGATGAACTTTCAACCTTTTGGATGTCAACATTTATTCTTGCGGGATACAAAAAGAATCCCTTTGTTTTGAAATCTTGTGTCTCTTGGAATCCGTCTGTATGTTGAGCAATTTCTCAGAGCGCTACCCCAGGGTTAAATAATTATTGCTTTATAAAAGTACGCACGACTTCAAGTAAACAGTAGTTATTGTATTTGATATATTTTTAGCGACTTAACGCAGATTTTGTCTGAAGCGTAATACGGTTATTCGTAACAATCCTCAGCTTTGTGCTATGTTATTTATTTTCAATTATTCCCACCTCACTTCTTTTAATCTGTATGTTTCTGTGTGTTTTGTTTTAGTGTGATAATAAGGTTTCCACAATGCAGAAACCTACCAGTGCTCGCTCGGAGTTTATCGTAGGAGGGAAATATAAATTGCAGCAGAAAATAGGTAGTGGATCATTTGGTGATATCTACAAAGGATTGAATATTACAAATGGCGAGGTTTGTATTGAGCAATATCGCTGTTCTTCCTAGGATTATAGTATAATATGTTGTAGTTTTCTCTTCACCTTTAATTCCAGAAATTTTGGAAAAGAAATCTCTGACCTTTTTATTTATATGTTGAATCTATTTAAAAGGCTTAAAAATAAACAAAAATAGAAAAATTATTTCTGTTGCAGCTGATAAGTAATGGATCAATTATAGATATGAATCAAAAGTTGTACTGTAACCGTCACATATAGAATGTCCCCATGTTAAACAAATTTTACTCTTTGAAGAACTTTTTTCGTAATATCTCTGCAAGGTTTAAGAAAGTGACCTATTTATCAGGTGTTTATTGAACTCTGCTATCATGAATGATACAACACTCCTCAAATTCTCGCAGGACAGTACAGTAGAATAGTTGTACTTTAAATTTGAAGGAATCAATACATATCCCAGTAAATTTTAGGCTAAAAAGCCTTAACTGTACAGGTCTGTGTTATATTATTGAGAACTTCATCTCTTGTTCCCCATCAAATGAGTGCTGTTTTTGCATTGAATTGCACATCGTTTCTGAGTAGTTGTACAACTGATCTTTTAACTCATCAGTTCCATTTGAGGGGGAATAGAATTTCATTACAAACTGATCTTTGTGTGTGTAAACTTTCATTGGCCAAACATGACAGAATTAAAGATAAAATTACTGTAATTGTAATTATAACAAGAAAAAAGTGATTCATAGAAAAACCAAATTGAAATCATAACAATTTTCAATACAATTGATGCTCTATCTTGAGTTTAGGGCATGTAATATACTGGTCCAGTAAATTTTGTGAATAGGCCCTATGCATTTTACATTGTAATACATAATTTTCTTCACAATCCCCGATATTAAAAGGCCGTTTACACGGCAGAAAAATCGGGTACGGGCATGTCAAAAAAGTAGTATGGACCGCATAATTTTAGCCGTTTACACAGATGATGTTTTATCACGGGTCGGACAAAAAGAGGCATAAGGACCAAGTTAGCAAGGTTGCGTTTACACTGCAGTTTTTGGGGACCGGACCAATTTCTTGCATGGGACTACAGTATTTGGTACAGCTGTGTGCTGTTATTGAACATGCGTAATTCTTGTAAACAAAATGGCGACGCGTGATGCTGAGTTATGGGTACAGACCCATGTTTTTTTCAGGTTTTGGGGCCATAGACATCTATGGCCCAAAAACCAGAAAAAACACAGGTCTGTACCCATCCCCCAAAACATGGTAAGGATTGTTTACATGGGAAAAAATGTGAGGTCGGTACTCCTTTTTTGACACGTCCTTACCCAATTTTTCTGCCGTGTAAATGGCCTTTAAAAGTGTAGTGGTGAAATTTAATAGGAAAATATTCCCATAGCACTGAAATCAAAAGACTACACACATAACAGCAAAAGGATGGCAAAGATTTGAGGAAAATGTTCTGTAATCAAGACCGCCTCCCGGTTCTGTAATCACTACCACCTCCCGGTTAGCTCAATGGATAGAGCGCTGGACTGTAGTGCGGGAGGTCGAGGGTTCGAGCCCCGGCCGGACCAACACTCAAGGTCTTAAAATAATTGAGAAGAATTTGCTACCTTTCTATAACATCAAGAAATGGTTAGATATTCTACTCTTCTCGGATAGGGACGAACAAATGGAGGTCCCGTCTCCTGCAGGGTTGGGGCAGGAGACGTTAATTTCCCACACACGAGATTACTGTGTGATGGATGTCCTCCCCTGGGGTGGGATGGGTGGGTTAGGACAGCAGGTCCACATCAGCTATTACAGCTGCCAAATTAATCAACCTGCTTAAACAAATAAATGAACTTCAACTTCAACAACTTCAACTTAGGGTGTTTTTCCACCAAATAGAGCAATCAGGCATAAGAGCACTTTAGAATGAATTCTCCAGGCATTATTTGAATGACAACCAGGTGAAGACATAATTAGAAGATATGATCATTCACATTCTATAAACCCTTACCTGTTTGATCCCCATTACAGATGTCCAATTTGCTTTTAATTATTGCCCAGTCAAACAAAAATGCAAACAGACTTTCATCGCCTGGGAAAATGCCAACGTCTGTTCTCAACCTTAACAACATCTCATTGTAACAAACCTGTAATTCAGCTCTCTGCAAAAGGTTTGAATAAGCATCATATTAGTATTGTGTCTCATTTCCATATAAATGTTTTTCAGAGGTTCTTTAGTAGCCAGCTTTAAAAACTGTTACAGTAGCACAAGAAAAAAACCAGCAAGTGACCATGGCACAGTATCCATTACTTATTGTTTTCTGTCCAGTACTAATCAATCTTTTTGGGTACATACTAATAAAAGTGAACAAAGATGAAGACAGGTATTTGACTGTTTTGTCTTGGTAAAATAGTGGCTGCTTCAGAAACAAGTAGCTGGTGAAAAAGCCAGCTCCCATTTCTTCTGGAGAACAATCCATTGCAGTTAGAACTTGAAGAAGATTTTACTGACTTGTTCAGCTTAGAAGACTGATGACATGTTCATTTAATGAAACCAAAACTCCTTGTAATAATCATGGTACATTGTAAGATTTACATATTCAGTGATCTATGTTCAACTGCTTTTGTTCAGTGCTTGAGCTGATTTTCTTTTAAGTTACTGTTTACAGTCCTAAAGGCTTTAGTCTTGTTCATTTGGGGATATTTTTGCAGGAATCATCACAGAGAAAATTTGAAAAATTCATAGTCTAAGAATGGTCTCCAGTAGCTAAATACTGATACCAAATAAGCAAATAGAACATTGACGGTAAAATAATTGATGTTTTTTTTTTCTTTTTTTTTTTGCAGGATGTGGCAGTTAAACTTGAATCTCAAAAAGCAAGACATCCACAACTGTTGTATGAGTCTAAGCTTTATAAGATATTACAAGGAGGAAATGGTATTCCTAAATTTAGGTATGGCATAGCACATTTGATTTAACTGTTTAACTCCTAAGACTGACTTGCTTCTAATTTTTAACTCGTGAATTGCACGTATGCGCAAGAGCGAGTTGTAGGTATGATGTGATGAATGGCGCTCGCTCGCTCGGTTGGTCAATTCCTGTAAACTTTTTTCTATTTGAGGCTTTTGAATGCATTTGATAGTTTTTGGCGAGTGATAAACAAATGAAATGGCAACCTTTGTTGCTAAGAATAGTGTTGGGGTGAAAAAGAAGCCAATGATAATCTTGAAAGAGTAAAAAAGTATAATGTGTTTTTCATTATTTTGTGAATTAATTAAAGTTTGCACTTTTATCTCTTGCCGCATATATTTCATTTATGGTGTCAATACTTCTATTTTTAAATGTATATATAATCCAGGAAAATGATTATAGTGTCCAAAAAAGAAAACAAAGAAAATAAAGAAAGGAAGTTAAGCAAAACGCAAAATTTATTTGAGGACGGCGGATTTGAACCACCTACATCGCCACCCTGGGATTGACATCTACTGCACTGCTTTTTACCGTAAGGCCACTGAAGCACATTGAAAAATTGATATGAAACTTTATCTAGCTATAAATTTTACATTTAAAACGCTGATCTTTTGGTAATTTCAACCGCGGGCTCAAACAACTCGAGTCACTGCTTGCTGATAGTCTGATATTGAAGTGTCGCTCACAGCCAACTGCTCGTAAAGTGACTTGTTTGAGGCTTGTTTGGTATTCCTGGAGCTGTATCGAGGTTGGAAAGTGGTTCACAAGTGGGAACTACATCGAAAGAAGGTCAAGCATAAGTTCAATCAATTGATATGCTGTTTCTTCAATGGTGTAACTTGTACTGTGTATGCGTATGTTATTGGTGCACTGTTAAGTTTGTATGTTTCCAGATACCTTGAATTAAGGATTTTTTCTTAAAAATGTGTCCTGGAGTGAGGAACAGGAAGTTCAAAAGATGAGGATTGATATCACTCAAAATGATTGTAATTATCAGTTCTCAAAACAAGGAATATACACTAACAGTGAGTGTCAAATACTGCCTAGAAGTGATAGCAGAGTCCTTACCTTAAGGTGACTGAAGTTTCTCATAGTAAGACCTATTTTTGTCAAAATGAGTAAGTAAAGATCTCAAAAGAGAGCACTTACTCCTCAAAGATTGTTAAATAATACGTCATCCCTATGTCCTTGAGACAAGGATCTTAACTCCAGGAAGTGGTTCTTTCTATCAATATTTTGTGCATGTAACACAGGTTAGCCAGGCCATACTACAAACTCAACAACAACTTTTAATCTGACATAATAAACCAAATTCTGCTTTCTTTAAAATGTTTTACATTATTTTGAACCTAAGATACATGCACAGCAGCAAGTTTTATTATTGAAGCAAGACTTAAGTTACACCTCGCTTCATTTGATGTATAGCAAATGTACAGCAAAGTGACATGGCTTTATACCTAACACCAATTCTTCAAGAAATGGCATAGCTACATGTTAACTTGATATGCTGAAATGTTAAATATTCAATAAAAATCTTCATGCAGATTTACCAATACTAAAATAAACAGTATATAGTGGCTTCATGACAAACACAAATTCTTCAAGGAATAGGTATTATAATAGTAGCCTTTCCTTTTAATCATACCGAAGATTACTCTAACTTTCTCTTTGTCAAAAATCTTGTTACAGGTTTGCCTGTACCTAAATGTTCGTTGTAGAGGCTTTACACCTAGGACATATTCTTCAAGAAATTGATACAGCAACTTTTCTTTGGAATCATATTGAAGATTAAAACAATAATAAGTTGACAGTGACAACAACAATCCCTTTACAAGATTGAATATCCTTGCTGGTGTATGACTATAATTACTTCTGTCAACAAGTGGTTTACATTTAGTTTGAGATTCTTTATTCTGGTTCTATAATTTTTCGTATAATAATCACATGATTGTATGTAAAAATTACAAATGATAGCAGTTTACATTCCATGCTTATTCTTCTGGAAGTTATAAATTTATGATTTATTTTGACAACCACTTTGATTGTCATTTGAAATTAAAAATTTTTGTGAATTACAGGCAACAAGGATATTCCTAATGCTTTATATTTAGGGTAACCTAGGAACACAAGTTCTGTGGTCTTGTTTCATGAATCACAGATATTGAGTGTGTTGAAAGAAAAATTAATGTAAACAAGTTTTTCAAATTATATTTAGTTATAAAAATTATTTCCTTGGGAAATTGACAAGCACAATTCCACAGATATTTCTGAAATTTTGGCAAGCATTTATCATAAATCTAGTTGGAAGAAGAACCTTTCTACAGAGAATGAATACTTGCTAAAAGCAAGGATTTGAGATATTTTATTCAATAGTGGAAATACCCTTAAAATGAGAATTCAAAGTCATAATTCTTAAAACAAGGAATGTAAATCTTATTTTTAATGGTGGTATTATTAAACTGAGGAACTTTCATTGGAGAGTATAAAATTCTTAAAAGCAGAAATCTTGATCCTTACTTTTCAAGGAATTCTCTCAAATTAAGGAAAAAATCCTTGTTTTGAGTATCCACTGACTTACAATAAGAATTCCGAAAAACATAAACTTTAGAGTGGTGTGAACATCCTTGTACTTGTTTTCATCCTCGTGCTAATAATTATCTCAGAAGTGCAAAACAGGCTTCAAGTGTGGTACTCAGTTGCAACACAATCCTAATCAGGCCATATTTTCTGTCTTTGAGGCCTAATGTAGTTTCACATCATATTCCTCATAATGCTCATTTACCAGTCTAACGATTCATACCCTAGTATGGAAATCAAACACCCATTTCTATTGACGACACAAATTACATTAGCTTGTCCAATTCACGAGTTGGCTCACAGAGCCTTTGATTTTTCCTTACAGTATTACCCTTGAATCAAATGTGAAGGTCGTGAGAATAGTAAAATGACCACCAATGCAAGAAGCTCTTGATTGTCCAACAGTTTCTCCTTGTCATCAGCAAAGGAAATGTAGACTGAGATAACAGTGAGAAGGAAATGAATACCGTTTTTGGGGGGATAAAGGGTTAATTTTGTGTTATTTTTTGGATATATGGGATGCATTTTGTGATAGGACATGGTGGTTGCTAGGAGATATAATATTTCTTCAAGACACCAAGCTTTAAATAATTGTGTTCTCTGAATTTTTTGAAGTTTGAATGCCTCACTTTGACCCACAAGAATAAAATGTATATTGTGTTTGTTTTTGGTAACTAATTTTGCATATCAAAAGTTGAAGCCCTATATATGTATAGATATATATATTTAGATATATATATATAGATAGATATATATATTTAGAGTTAAAGAGTTGTGAGGAAAAATTCCAAAACAAGTTCTAGAGACAAGCTCTTTTCAAGTAGTTAGTAATACAACCCATGAGTAAGCAAGGAGAACAGAAGCAATAGGAAAATGAAAATTCTTATTTGTTGCAGCAAGCTGTGCTCTGGTCCCAGTAAACTGCTTGTGGTTTGCTTTGTTTATTGTTTGAGAAGGAACACTTATTTTACTTTAAAGGAACATGGAATGTAAAAGCTTGTGAAACAAGACTCTTAACTGAGATTTGGCTGTCCCCTTAATTATGATTGTGATATTTGATTTTTGCAGATGGTATGGCCAAGAGAGAGATTACAATGTGTTAGTGATGGACTTGTTAGGACCCAGCCTAGAAGACCTTTTTAATTTCTGCAATAGGAAGTTTACAATGAAAACAGTTCTTATGTTAGCTGATCAGGTTGGTAGTAACCTTTTAGACCCCAAGAGCAAAATAAGCATCTGATTTCTCCCAACAGTAATTCACTCCTGAATCAAACACTGAGGTCATTAGAAGACAGGAAATGATCACCTATTTCAAAAGCTCTTGATTGTTAGACAAATTCTCCTTGTGAGTACCTGGCATAGAAAATGTATAGGGAACAGTATGGAGATTATGCACACTGATATTAGGGAGTCAGTTGATACATGATTATTATTTATCAACACCTAGGGGAAACTATCCTTAAAACTTTTTAAACCCACCGGCATTGTGTAATTAGCTTCACTCTGTGTTTGCAAACATTTCGTTATCTTTGTTGAAATCTTTCTTTCCAGATGATAGGTCGCATAGAATATTTCCACAACAAGAATTTCATTCATCGAGATATTAAGCCAGACAACTTTCTAATGGGCACAAGCAGATGCTGTAACAAGGTAAAATAGAAAACAGTTAAACATTTGTTTTTGTACCCATGTTTGATTCATTTTCTTTCCTTTTTCTTTCTTACTACTCACTCCAGTATCAGTAATTAGCTATCAGCATGTCATATTCAGCAGTGTTTTTTTTTTATTATTATTTTTGAATTTTGACAGCTCTACATCATTGACTTTGGTTTGGCAAAGAAGTTCCGGGACAGTAAAACCAAGCAGCATATACCATACAGGGAAGACAAGAATCTCACAGGCACGGCTAGATATGCTAGCATAAATGCACACCTTGGAATTGAGCAATCGTGAGTTGATGTTATTTATATTATAATTACTGTCTTGTGGCTGTAGTGGAGAGTGATTTGAATTGCAGAACTTCAAGGCAAGCAGCTTTGTTTGATGTCAACCCTGACTAAATCTTTCTAGTGTCAGTGTGCTTGGGCTCTTTTGGGCAAAACAGTTGGGGGAAAAATTGAGAAATTCTGGTATCGGGGAGAGGGGGAAATTGGCAACATAGGGAGGTTGACACTGCTCCTAGTAGCTTGATCCTTTGAAAATTAGGATAAACTTAAATTTATAGGAACACTTGGCTCAAATGCTGACATGTTAATATGCCTTGCTAGATACAACCTCCATTTTTCTTCTCCATGCCTCTTGTACACTGAGTCAGAATGTTCTTTTTAAATGTTGTAGATAAGTGGTTAAAGATACTAATAGTTTCCTAGAGGTCCCAGAACCTGTAATTGTTGCAAAAGAAAGGGATTAACTTATATCAGTTTGTTGCACTCTATGGAGCATTATTTTTGTAGGATAAAGTGGAGATTTCAGCATGATTGCTAATGTATTGCTTTATTTTAACATGCAACGGGCATATTTCAAATTTACACGAACTCTTGATTTTCAGGGTTGTATCAGTTTCCTGTATGTGTCCTACTTCTTTGATACTTTCTGTCTGGTTAAGCAGAAGTCAAATTGAAAATGGTTCAATCTTCACTTTGCAAATTCATTGAGAACTGTTGCTATTATTTTCTTTCCATGATTAGACGCCGAGATGACATGGAATCACTAGGATATGTATTAATGTACTTTGCAAGGAGCAGTCTTCCTTGGCAAGGACTTAAGGTTGTCTACCATTCTTGTTAACATAAATTTTGTGTGTTTATCTACAGGGCTTTAGGATGGGAGTAAATGTACAAAACATTCTCATTAAAATGTAGTCTTCCTAGTTATTGTTACCTACACTGCAGTTTCATCTATATTATATTCATGACAACTTCTCATGACTCTTCTTTTGTCTAGGCTGCTACAAAGAAACAGAAGTACGAAAGAATAAGTGAAAAAAAGATGTCCACACCAGTTGAAGTTCTTTGTAAAGTGAGTTGCTTTGTCTCATTTTGTTTTGTATTGTTGTAGTTATTTGTTGCTTTTTGTTTATGGCCTGATACTGGAGTTTTTAAGAGAAACATATGACACCTACAACACAGATTGAAAGTGTCAGAACATGTTCTATTGATGTAGGTACCACCTATGGTGTTTTAGTCTACAGTGGTCACTGTTGGGGCATTGGCACAGTACTTTTGAAAAACATTACTCACAAAACAGGTCTTCCACAAAAGAGGTGGTGTGGGGGAAAGAGGGCAGGGGCTGTGCAAGAGATGAAAAAGTATCTCATTCAGGAAGAGTAGAAGAGTAGTAAATCCACTAGACACTCCTTGTGGTAGAAAACAGGAGAGGCTCTGAAACCCTTTAAATCCTAGAGGTGATTAACATGTAACTTCTCCCTATGATATCCATACATTATCCAGCAAACAAGTAATGAGAATACTCAATTACTTATCGGACAGTTATCTTGATCTAGCACCAGTTCTTGTGACTAATTAAGGAGGAAATGTGTGTGGCAAGAGGGGAGAATTGACCATCAGTTCTTGGGAGTTAAGGGTTAATAGACATACTGTAGTTTTTGCATTGTTTTACAGATGAAGCTTATAGTGGTCATTGTTACTGTTATAATTTTTGTTTGGCAGGGTTTTCCTGCAGAGTTTGCCATGTACTTAAACTACTGCAGAGGACTAAAATTTGAGGAGGCACCAGATTACATGTATCTTCGCCAACTATACAGAATTCTGTTCAGGACATTAAACCACCAGTATGACTACACATTTGATTGGACGCTTCTGAAACAGAATGTTGGTCAACAATCTGCTGTTCCAATGAGTGCAGGGGCTACAGCTCTACCAGGAACAGCCCCACCTCAAACAACCAGTGCAAGACATAAACAACGCACCCAACGTAAGTGTTATTATTAGTCTTGGGGGGGTGGGTAAGGTACTTCCTAGTAACAGGCTAATGGGATATGCCACTGGATGGGTTTTTTTTATTATTATTGCATTGCACACAACTATTTAGTACACAACTTTCATTACAATACTTAACTACTGCACTAAACATAATAAACAGGACCTATGGTATAACACAGCTAATTCACACTCACTCATGTACACACACTCACAAACAAGTTTACATAGCAAAGTTGCACCTGTTTCAGCCTGACATATTCTAAATTATCCAACTACCCCTAGTATTTAAATTGCCCACTTCTTCCTAAACATATCTAAATTATTATTTTTTGTACAGATATATTTTTCTGTCTCATACTTTAATTTGACTTTTGATTGAAAACCTCATATACTTGGGAAGTTCTTTATTCCTTCTACACCCCCATAGATAAATTTTTCCTATAAGTAACAGATAGTTCAGTAAGGGAAGTTCTGGTGTTAAAAGACGGATTAATTTATCCTTCAAATTAAGATGTATCTGCTGTTATGTCAAAGATAAGTAATATAATTCAAAATCTTTCCAGAAAGAAATTGAATAAGAGCAATCATATAGGAAAATTCATTACTTGACGAGGGAATTCTGCATTAAATTGCACGCAAACTGAAAACCGATATCGCACGAATCGCAAAGCAATGAGTGCAATATTGGTTTTCAAGTGCAATTTAATGCGGAATTCACGAGTGAAGTAATGGATTTTTCTTGAATCGCATAACTGAATAAAAATGAGAAAAAAAAGGAAACAGCATTACTTAAAATTGTTATGTTTAATACGTAGATGCGAAACAATATCACTTAATAGCCTTGTTTTCAACTCGCAATTCCACGCTATATACCTCGCTTCGTTAACCAATCAGAATGCAAGATTTAATTCAATGATGCGATTCTAAAAGAAATGCTACATTGTTTCTGACTCACGTTTGCAGAAAGAACATAGATCATCTACAATATACCCGATTTTGTGTAATTTGAATTCGTGTAAAGTATAGAGTTCAATACTTTGAACTGGAAAGCCTTGACATATGGCTCAAAAGCAACTGAATGGGGAAGAGAAAAGGCTTTTTTCAGTGCTTGGTCAGTCAAATTAAATTCACATATCAATTTTCTCGTGTTATTTGGAAAGCCAGCCCTTTTACTGGATAGGGTTGCATTTTCATGCCTGAATAGAATATAACGGGGTTGCATTTTCAATAGAGTTTCTAGAATGGAGTTGAATAATATAGATCAATTCAATCACATGGAGTTGCGCATTTTCATTGTTTTGGGGGAAGGAAAATTCTGGTAAGTAGGGATTTTAAAAATGGATAGAGTTGCAATTAAAAAGTTGCTAATGTTGGGATTATAAAAATAACATTTTCCCAAGAGTGACTTAGATGGGGTCTATAATTGGCCACAGAATAGACTATGATAGGGTAAGGGTGCTGAGAGGCCAGTGAAACACATACCCAGCAATCATTGACCCGACAAGTGTTACATTCACTTCTTTGTTTACAAGTTTGTTTGTTTGTTTGTTTTTTATAATAAATTGGTAATTGTATTGAAAAAAAATGGAAAATGAATATTATTGGCATTTGACAGTGGATGATGTAAGATTTGATTTTAACTCCATCATTTAATAATATATGTTTACCTCTTTAGGATTCTTGATTGACAGGGAAAATGTTTCTCTTTTCTCTTTCAGAAAGAAGATAGGTGCACATCCATTAATTTGCATTTGAATTTCTAAACTGAAAAAAAAAAAACATCTTATTTTAAAATAAAGGGAAAAAATGAGAATGAAAGACTCAGTGATGAGTAGATGAATTATGTACACAAGCATGACTATCTGGATCCATGAGTGATACAGTGTCACTTTTATTTCACTTTACAAAAATAATGCATACCTTCATAGCATGGTGTTAAGTTAACTTCTTTTGTAACTTCTAAAATTTTCTAGTAGGTACCTGTTCTATTATTTAAAGACAACTTTGAAAAACTAGTAGCGGGGCTCCCACACACACATGGGGCAGAGCCCTATACCCATGGAATATGGTCAACCTCTTTTCGTTTGGTTGTCACGTGACTGACCGAGCGTACGTACATATGTACGTGCCTTCAGGTTGCACTGGTAGGGTAGGGGAGACTATCAAAATGAAGGGAGGGGTGTCTCAGGCGAGTCTTGGCAAATGCACATCTTTTGTGTTATCATTAATATTACGAACTTGGGAGCTCTGCTTTTAGGCTTGGCTAAATCTATATATTATTGGTAATGTATTGAAGTCTTTTTTGTACCCTGTTTATTTGAACCTACCTTCAACAAAACAAACTGAAGTTGTTTAAGTCTGACTATGTTTGCTTTACTCCTAAATTTGACCCAACAGGCTTAAAATTTTACCAAATGTTGAACCACAACTAAAGCTGGGGACATCAAGTAGAACTAATCTTTGTATAATATTCATATTTCCTGAATTAGCAGAATTAATCCAAAATTTCTGATCAAACATGTTTAACTTCTGGAATTCCACATGGCAAAGAACTTCTGATTTGACCACAAAAGTGATCCCACAGCTATTTCTATCATTGCAGAGACAAATGTATTTTAGAATGATCTTGTAGTGGTTCGTCAGTTGAGTTTTAACAGCAATGAAAAAAATTTTCTAGATATTTCCTGTCATCAAATTTTGTGCCTAATTGACTTTTAACTTCTGAAAATTAATTCGACTTTTTTATTATTTTCTGTTTTGCATTTGACACTTGTGTTTTCTTGACCTGAGTTTAAGTTATTAACGTTAAAGTTTAAACTAGGTAACTCTGCTTTTCCATCAAACCAATTTTCCTCTAACCAAAAGAGCAAAAACTTCACTTTTTTATGTTTCTTGGCAAAGATATCAATCAGAAATAAAAAAAAATCAACTTCTCTATGTTGCTTTGAGTTCTGCAGAATTAAGTTTCCCTTCATGAGATTATTCTTAAAGTCAATAGTTGAATGGCGTACATATTTTATCCACATTTTTCATTTTTGCTTGTTAGACTAACAACCCTCGTTTCAAATGATAATTAATACAGTAGCAATTTAGTTCATAGTTCATGTACAGTTATAGAAAAATACAATCAAGTTCTTTGTGACCCAGGGGCAACACAGCCATAATATTTACATGTGTAACACTAGGCAGGAGCAACAGTTTTAATTTTGGTTTTATCAGTAGCTTTGTTTTGGGTGAAACACTGATTTGAGTGAACGATCAGAACATGTCGTCTGATTGAATTGTCTCACTTTGTATTTATTGTAAAGTTAGTTTTGAGAGTAGTATGGCTTAGATAACAGCACAAGTTGATCATAATCGTAAAGGAAGAAGTTTGTAAAAAGTTATTGACCTTAAATTAGCTTGAAAATATGCAATGAAACTTATGAAATGGTGCTAGATATATGAACATTGATCTTATTTTTTGGTGAAAATGTAAAACCGCTAGTTTTGTACTTAAACGAGTTGTTTTGTTTAAAGTTTCTTCCATCTCCGCATTCAGTTTCATAAACACCTTGTTCTGTAGTTGGCTTAGTAGATTTTCATTGTTTTCCGCCTATGTATCACTGTACATCTTGTTTTTGCCATTAATTGACAGTTAGATTATTTTATGATGCTAAGCTAACGAAGACAGACATTGTAAATATTGCCTTCCACACAAAAATGAAACGTAACTTGAAGAGTAAATAAAGTTCCCGTTTTTAACTGGTTGTAATTTTGTGTTCGCTAGAAGCAGTTTGATTGATGTCCACAGCTCTCGAGCGGGAATGTGTCTGTTCACTTGGTTGCTTTTAAAAGGGATACGAAGCACGAAACTGGTGCCAACAGTTGTCAACATTCACCCACATATAGCCAGCAGAACATGCCTGATTTTTTTGTTTGTGTGCAGTTAATAGGCTTACTTCCGCCGGATTAATAAGAAAGCCTAGTTTGCAGGCTGCCCGCGACCTGACACCACGGGATACATACTCCTCCCGTTTCTCTTTTCCTGCTTTGGTCCTCCAGAGGAGCCATCTCAGAGGCTGCCAGGAATGATGTGAATGAAAGAGCACACCTTTTTCCTACTCCTAGACAGAGATGCTAAGAAGAAAACCTTACTAGTCTTGGCCTAGAATTTGAAAAGAAGTTGATTTAAATCGAGAACTAGGAAAGTATTCAGTACCGAGTAAGTCCTTCTAATTGTGATAAATCGATTAAATAGGAAAGCGGTGACCAATCAACGAAAGAAAATTTATATCGTGACTTAGCGGTTTGGGGTCAATCCAAGAGAAAATGAGGGGCGCATTTTCTCTTGGTCAATCTTATTACTGTTATATGTTCATTTTTATTGAAATAATTTCGAAATTGATGATAATCCATTAGACAGACCAGATTATGCCAATCGATAACAATCGAAAAGAGAACATAAGCTTCATCTATTCGATAAATTTGTGATCATTGATAAATGTTCATTGCCTTGGCCATAGTGGTTGCGCGTGCCTGGACTAAATAAGGACGGCTGTTCAAGTTTGGCGTCCGAATCAACAGGCGAACTTTTTGAAAATTGGGTCAGTCCACATTCATTTGGATTAAGTTCGGTTCATGAAATGTTCACCCAAATGAAGCTCTCGGTTTTGTACAGATCCTAATTATACTAAGATATTAGTCTGGAATGGAAATGATGCCATGCACACAGGGTGTGATCAGTGGGCAGATTTGGTGTAATATCGATGAAAATGTAACCGCTTTCGTGTATTCTGTTTGACTGCACATTCTATGGTATTGTAAGACAGCTTGGCTTATAGTCTGCTCTTGATGTCATGACGGATAGTCGAGACTATATCGTACAACAATGATTTTTAAATACGGCTTTCGTAGCCAACAAGCTGTGAAAATGCTCGCATGTGTTCCTGACTTGCATGCTGCGAACATGCAGATGTAATTCCTCCATTAAATGCCTTTAATGGAGGCTTTCATTAGTCTCTTTCATTAGCTTTCATACCAGGCTTTCATTAGTCTCGGTCAAGTTGTCACACCTTCATGCAAATAACGTAACAGTCGTTCACCCGGGATTCAGGGACTTTCGTCAAAGATGGTTTCCACGGCAACAATTAACAACTTAAATTTACAAATCACGTCAGTTACCATCTTCAAACAAAAGAAGAACGAAAAGATTACAAGGACTTCCGCACGAAATGCTTGGAGGCAACAACAGTCTTGTGCATGCGAGGTAAAGAAGTGTAAAAAGTTCGAAGGAAATTCAAACGAGTTTTTAACTTCAAGTCATCTCCTGACAAAATCATCACATCACCTTTGTCTAAAGAAACAAAAGGAAGTCTGAGTAGTTTATGCGAGTTTGTTTGATGCCGTGTCTAGTAGGATGGCTCACCAGAGCACGCGGCAAAAAATACCAGCCCGGGATAGCAAAACACAACAAGAAATCGACCGACAGCACACCTTGCTAGCTGCAGATCTGGACAAGAGAGCTTTGAAAGGGAATGCAAAAGTGGAAGACTGGCGTCATTACAAAGAGTTCGCAGGGTTGTCGAAGAAGGAGAAACGAGAACGATTCCAAATTCAACTAAAGCGCAATGAAATTTTGGACGACTTAAAGAAAGTTCGACAAGGATGTACAGGACATTACGATGAATCGAAGTCTCCAATAGAAAATATCCAGAGCGCTTTAAAACAGCAGTTTTTAACACCGTTGAGAAGTTCAAGGCTAGATGTTCCTCATGCTTATCCAGTAAGAAAGACTAAATCGATGGAACATATGCCCGTTGAAAAATCTGGATGTGTGTCACAAAGGGAAAGTGAAATTCAACAAAGACCCGAAAGCGTGCATTTGGTAAAGAAACCTACCCACAAGCGGACCTGTAGTAACAAGTGAATTCTTAGGAGCATGTATTGGTGAAGTACATCTCGTTCTAGGAAGGAAGAACCACGGTACTGGATCAGATTTTATTTGAAACAACTTCGAGAACTTAAGAGAAGAAACAGAACAGAAGAATAAGTTGACATTGAATCTGATCAAAACAATGAAGACAACAATGTATACAGTTTTAGCTGAAATAATGGACAGTCCCAACTCATTTACTGAGCTGAAGGAAAGATTTCGCACATGAAGCGCCAACAAATTAGATGCCCTAGCGCATTTGATTTAAATCACCTTTCAATTCATGCAAAGAGGTGGAAAAAAGGGTTGTCGATGTTTACCTTTTGTTTGATTGTAGAAAGTGCTTGCAAATAACAAACGTAAACTCATAATCTAATTGCCTTGGTAATAAAACTTGGCTGACTGTTATTTGATGACAATTGCTTATTGTTAATTTACCAAATGAGTGCCGAATCAGATGCAGCTACTTACAGTAATTGAGGGTGCGCGCACAATAGTATTTAGCGAAAAGATTCTCATTTAGCTGCGCGAAGAAAGTTTACTCAAAGTTCGTTATTTGCATACTGCGGGTTTTCGCGAATTCCATTGTCTACTGATGCCCCGTCAAATAATTACACCCCGACCACGATCTGACCATAATCACAACTTAAAGGTCCACTTGTGGGAAAGCTATTTTTTCTTAACGAGTCTATGTCAAACGGAGCAAGAAATTACTGCTGAACTCATAGCTATTGTGAATGATACGGGGAAATGGCAAGCACCTCCGCTTTGAAGGGCGAGGGTTGACGCAATGTTTTGAGCCTGACTTCCATATGATCGTCCAGTTGGCCCCGAATTATGCTTCAGCGATCGAGACAATACCCTGTGAGCAGGAAGATCAAAGGGCCTCTGCTCGCAGGTATCGAGACAATTTCATGGGATCACAAACGACCCGCATGACCGGGTCGACCATGACCGTCCAGATAGATCAGAATTGACCAATTCGAAAGCTTGACCAACTCGAAAGCTTAAGCTACTTTGGTCACTGCGCACATTTTCCTTTTCACTACTTGTGTAATTTAGTTTGCCTATGTCTCTCCTTTTTATGTACGCTAATGTAGAAATAATTATTTGTAAATAGTGCAAAAAAAAAAAAATAAAATAAAGATTGAAAGATTGAAGATCCAGATATGGTTTCCGTTTCGCCAAGGAATCCAGGCCTTACTCGGGTAGATTTTGCAGGGCGTTTGGTCAAAGATCTTTTAATAAAAGAATCCAAATATCTTCGGTCATTTCCGTAGACCTAGGGGCCTGCACGTGCGTCGGCGAAAATTTCATCCTGTTGTTACTTCATAATTTGGATATATCAACAAAGTTAAAATGGTAAATTGGCCACCGTAACGATTACAAAAGCTGACGTTTCGAGCGTTAGCCCTTCGTCGGAGCGAATAGAGGAATTGTGGGTTGTGTGTGCTTTTAAAGACAGAAAATGGAGCTACGTTATTGGTGGGAACATGGCAACGAGAAAAACAAGAATAAACTAGTGGAATGAAAAGCGTTCGTTGTGGAATTTAGACTGCCGGTTTGAAAGATGAGCTTTTGTTCAAGATTTTTACGGCTTTCCGAGCTACCTAAGTGTAAGGAAAGACGCAGATTGCCATATGTTGCTTAGAATGATTACCTAATCATTCTAAGCAACGTATGGCAATCTGCGGTCTTTCCTTACACTTAAGTAGCACGGAAAGCCGTAAAAATCTTGAACAAAAGCTCATCTTTCAAACCGGCAGTCTAAATCCCAAAGGGATCAACGAACGCTTTTCATTCCACTAATTTATTCTTGTTTTTCTCGTCTTCACGTTTTTGCCTTTAAAAGCACACACAACCCACAATTCCTCCATTCGCTCCGACGAAGGGCTGACGCTCGAAACGTCAGCTTTTGTAATCGTTACGGTGGCCAATTTACCATTTCAACTTTGTTGATATATCCAAATTATTTCGTTACCCCCACCGACGCAGCCCCGAACAGTTTCTTTCGAAACTATCAGTCTTTATTCCGTTGTTACTTCACACTGACGAGGAGAACAACAAGACATATAACCGCCGCCCAGTTAGCCCAATAGATAGTGCGCTGGACTGTTGAGCGTGAGGTCGAGGGTTCGAGCCCCGGCCGGACCAACACTCAAGGTCTTAAAATAATTGAGAAGAGTTTGCTACCTTTCTATAACATCAAGAAATGGTTAGATATTCTAGTCTTCTCGGATAGGGACGAATAAATGGAGGTCCCGTCTCCTGCAGGGTTGGGGTAGGAGACGTTAATTTCCCACACACGAGATTACTGTGTGATGGATGTCCTCCCCTGGGGTGGGATGGGTGGGAAGGTGAGATCGATATGGACTGAAGCGGCTGCCAGAGGCGCCTGAGAAAATGCCAACGTCTGTTCTCAACCTTAACAACATCTCATTGTAACAAACCTGTAATTCAGCTCTCTGCAAAAGGTTTGAATAAACATCATATTAGTATATTTCATTGTACCATCAAGTATACCTCTGCTGCGTCATTCAGAATCTAAGATGTTAATACAATTCTTCAAGGGTTTTATTTCCATTAATCATCATTTCTGTTACATTAACTTTTCCATCTTTACTCAGGCACCCCATAGGAGGCCTGAGTATACCACGTAAGTTAGGGATCGGCCCACTTACTAATCGCCGTCAAGGCGAGTTCACGCATAGGCGAGTGTAAGTTTTCCATTTGTCAGCTTCAAGATCTGAATGAAAATCGCGTGGTAACACTGTGTGAAAGGACTGAATTACATTCACACAATATCTTCTGGAGTCAAATTTTTGAGAATAAGGGGTAATTTTTTTTGCATTTTCGTCGGAGAAAAGGTGAACACAAGGTAAGAACTGAGTCACGCGTAAGAGGGGAGGAACGAGAATAGAACGCCTTTAACATGCCATACAAAAGCTGTTCCAGTGTTTAAATTCTGTTCGAATCTTAGCATGTAAGAAGGCCCTCATCATTAGAGCTGAGGTACGCCGGAGTGTTTCTCCGTCCGCGTGAAAATTTGATGCCTTGAGCAGAGCGAGGTAGCGATAGGTCTGAAAACAGACTGAGGCCAGAGTCCTCGCGGAACTATCACCGGCTGGATTTGCTCAAGGCCTCAAACTCGAAGAAACGCTCGTGCACAGCGTTACTAATAGCAACCTGCTCGTAGGCCATTCGAATTTATTTTCTCTCCTTTCTACGCGTACGCCTCTAATCCCCTCAACGACGCAAAGAATACTTCTGTTAAACAGGATGCACAAATTGTTGCACAAAGTTTGTTTCGATAATTAGTTACGGCAGCAATAACGTCAGCAAAGACAACGCTAACTACACTCTCTAAAAAATATATTATTCCAATTTTTTTCAATGCCCGTTTTAAAGGGTTTTTTCTTTCAAGATTACAGTTTTTCATCCTAACGAAAATATTCTGAACAACAACAAACATATGAAACATATGAGTGAACTGCGGTTATGAGACGTATATAAGAACGATCCTTCGCAGTAAAGCACTATTTGAGCAATAGTGGAAATCAGACCTGAAAAAAATTTCAGGCCTGTACGGGATTCGAACCACTGACCTCTGCGATACTAGTGCAGAAAATATTCTGGTTACCTAAAACATTCTTTCATATCCAGAGTACGGAAACTGTCTTAATTCTTTACCCCTAGAGAGAGACTGGTCTCTAGTTTCTCCTCACAATATCAGCCTTCAATCACACATTAAGGTCACGAGAGTAAAGGAAATGATCACCAATTAAAGCTCTGATTGTGGAACAATTTTTCCCAGCCAAAATCTTAGGAAATATATAGAGAACAGTATGGAGATTATGTATACTGATGTTGGGAGAAAAGGGTTGATGAACTGTCATCTATTCCTGGTATCCTCCAAACTGTTTGAAAATTTGTCTTAGTTCAGCTTCTTGTGACTCTTTCAGAGGTAGGAGTGGAGATCTTGTGGGTCCTCCGTAGAAGCCAAAAAACTCCATGGATTTCTTCAGTCCCGGAACACCAAATGTCTTGGTTACCTAAAAAAAAAAAAGGAGAAACGATCAAATATTCAAAATGATCATTATTTCATCTACAAGGAAGTAATACCAAAGACAAGTGTGGCTGTAGACGACAAAAGCAACTCCTGTTGTGGAGGATTTAAAATGTTATAAACGTTTGGTTACACACGCCGAGCGATGACATACAATGGACTTTTGTAGGAACAGTTACTTTGAAACAATTACCAAGAGATCTTTGTTTACTTTCATTTTTCTCAAACATGATTGGCAAGCAGAACGAAGCTACACGAGTCAGGAACCCTTACAAACAAAATTTTCTAAAAGAAATTGTTCATACCGCTGTGTTTGGGAGAATTAATTTGTGCTGCAGAAGCTTAGCTTCCTCCATTTTGCCATGTTTGTGCAGTTCATGCAGCTTGCAAACTTCTCTTCCTAAAACGTTTGCCAGAGCGCACACGCCTCCTACGGCACCTAGAAATAAATATTAAAAGCGTTTGTTGCTAACGAAAGACGACCTAATGGCTCCCAATAAAGGTAACATGGCCACAAGTATTAAATATTTGCTTAAAAGCATTTCAAGTTTGACACACGCGTTTGTTCATTCGCCGCTCTGAGAGTTATCTTCATCCTCTCCATGCCTATCCCACTGGTTTTCGAATCTCCCTTCTGCCTACCCCTCTTGTTTTCAAATTTCCCTTCTGCCTACCCCCCTAGTTTTCGAATTTCCCTCCTGCCTACCCCCCTAGTTTTTGATCCTAGACCAATGGATTAGAAACTCTTGTTCTAGACTTGATAAGACTACAAAAATGCTCCCGCCATTGATCTGTTAGAAAGGTCGAATACTTTTCGGGTTCAGGTAGAATTACGCCGATTCTTTTTCTGGTGGTATTGAAAATAACTGGCTTACCAAGACAATATGAAGCTAAAAGAAAGCTGGCTGATCCAGCTAAAACTTGAAAATTGTTTCCAGCAGTCTTGTGGATCACGTAACCAATCTTGGTGATCTAGTAGGAAAAACGAGGAAAGTAAAACAAAGAATAAATACTGGGCCAGGTTCTTCAAAGCTGGATTAAGGTAACCCAAGGTTAGCGAGAAATTTGATATCATATCTGAAATCTTTAAAAGAAAATTCAGATTAAATCTTTTTTTGCGAAATTTTGATTGTCGAAGCTAGGAAAGTATCATTCATTATCATATTGAAAACAAAACCTGACATCGCATACAACTGAAGAGGTCTGTGGACGAAACTAGTTTTGTAGTAGACGTGTTTTAAAGTGCGTTGAAAGTTAATTTTAATGAGGTTTTGTTTTCAATATGATACAGATTAAATCTTCATGTCTACAATTTGATGATTGAATGTTCTAAAAAGAATGGAGAAAATTTTACCAAAAGGCTTTAGAACAGAGAACTAAAGAAATCTGGATTAAAAGTTAACCCTGAGTTAGCGTTAATCTGCCTTCGAAGAACTGGGCCCTGGAGACTAGAGTGCTAAAGAGGTAAAGAGCGGGAAAAAGTGGCGGAAATTAGCAGGCGCGCGCAACAATTTGACGACGTGTGCTGGCGAGTTTCCCAATAAATAGGATTGTGCATTCGTTCACAGTTTAGCTTTTATGGATGTGAAAATGCGGCCAAACAAATGTTGAAGAGTTGAAAGGTGAGTTAAGTTTACACTCATTGAGTCTTGAATCAGATGTTTAACTCGTTCAGTAGGGAAAGGAACAATTTTCGTGCAACGAATACCCAGTGAGCATTGAAGACACCAACTGTCCGCAAAAACCTATTTTTTTTTCACTATTTGTAATTGAATGAGCAAAATCTTTGAAATTCAATCTAATTATAATTAGTAACAATACTGAATTTCAGCGCTTTCTTACATACATCTCCTCCACTGTCCTTTAGAGCAATAATATTTGGGTGAGATGATAACTTAATAATGCACTCAGCGGGTAAGTCAATTCCTGTGTTAGCTGGTACACTGTACAGTACAACCGGTATTGGTGAGCTGTCTGCGACCTGGGAAACAAAATTGTTCCTGTCATTTAACTAGTCAATAATAAGAAATATAATAAAGAGGCAACTGTGGGAAAGCTTCCCTTAATGCCATCTTAATCTGACTTTTTTTCTCAAGTCATTCAAATTCTAAGTGAACTGTCGTTTAAATAGTATTACCAATGGTGGCATTAAATCTTTATGGTTATAGGACTACAAGGGACCTTGTGACAAAAAAAGCAGTTCATATACTCTATTTGAAACCATATGTAAAAAAATGTTGTTTGAATCAATTTTTAGTTCCTATTAATGGTATATCATCGAGTATGAGAATCAGCTGCAAATTAAAACTGGTCAGCTGTGTTGACAGATCTGTTAGTGAAAACAGATGCTTTAGCCCAACTGCCGGAATTCACCTCCATTTAAAAATCTAATTTAGGAATATTCTTTTATATGCAACTGAGTTCACTTTATATCAATGCTTTACCTTAGTGAAGTGATTCTCAAGAGCTTCTGCAGTCATACCTCTTTTATAGAAAGAAGGTGTCACAACAAGTGCTGCATCAGCACCTGCTTCAGCCATCTCACTTGTCATCTCTATGGTATCCCTTGTAGCTTCATCGGGAAAATGATGAGCATGGATCAAAAATTATCAAAAATTCAAGACACGCCAAAGATACCCCAATCAGCAGCACACATGAAGGAGCAATACCAACAACAACAACAACAACAACAACAACAACAACAACAACAACAACAATTTTATTACCCCATAATTTAGGAATTTCAGTCATTTGTAAAAACTGATTTGATAAGCTTGTTTAAGGATTACCAGCTCCCTGAAATAACTAAGTAGCTAAAAACACCAGAGAGCTGGTTTAAATAATGTAAATTAAATATTTACAGCGGAGGTAAGACCTAAACTATCACATACACACACACACACACACACACACACACACACACACATACACGTACACACTTACAACATCGACATACAAAGATGATAATGATAATTACAGCAATAAAGACATTAATCTATGGAGGATGTATAATAATTAAAATAGCTATGTGCAGAAAGCAATATTTTAATTTAATGTCATCAATATACTGAAAGATATTGTTCCTTTAGACTTAATTTAAATTTTGAAAGAGAACCAACAATTAAACTTAAAATAAACTTAACAAGTTTCAGTTCAGACTGTAAAATCAATAGTCTCTTATTTCTCTAAATGGAAAGCACAATACAGAAGTTTTAGCTAAGGAGGATGCGTCAAAATGTGGTGTCAAGAGAGCTTGCTCATAGCTTAAAGGTGTAACTCTCTCTTAAACCCCCTAAACTCCCTGAAGTGTGATTTAAGTGTAGAAAATGCAATGGTTCCTCATCAGAAACATTTCCTATTTGTACAGTTTTTCTTATGGAATATGCAAGAATGTGAAAGTTAAGATATTTTCCCACATGCTAAATTTTGGATTGACTGTTTTAAATCTTAGGTTAAGTTTTGTTCCAATCTCTCAGTTACCTTCACAACCTGATCCTGCCAAAATAAGTTTGCCTTTGGGTGCTAGTTCTCTCACTTTACGGACTAAATCAATCTTCTCTTCAGCTCTCATATATGCATATTCACCATTGGATCCTTGAACAACATACCCTGCAATGCAAAATCATATAATCATTATGATATTAATCCCATAAGAACCTTTTCCTGTCATAAGCTGATTACAGTACAATTCAAAGGCACATCTTGTACAAAAGGAAGTAACATTAACTTCTAAAACTACTTTCTCAAGGTTTTGTAGTATCTTCAAACAAGCATGTTCGGTACTAAGTGAAACTATCATGCTCTTGACCTGTGTATTTTAATGTTTTCTGTCTACAAATGCTCCAGAAATCACCCTTTGCTGCACTTCATTTATCAAAATATTTCAGTTATAGTAAATTATTACAGTAACTATTGTTGTTGGTAAAATAATACAGAACAATAATTTTTCAACTTTTACTTCTTGGGGCACTGCTTGTAGGTAATCAAATTTCCACTCAAGGGTAATCAGTCAGTCAGGGGTCAAAGACAGTTATTAGATATATATATATATATATCTACTTGAATTGTGCTTTTCATAAAATATTTGTTCACTGGTAACATGAGGGATGTCAGGGAGGAATAAAGCACATCTTCCCCCCTGTTGGAGGGAAGGGGGGATTTGAAGGGGAAAAGGGAAAGGAAAAGCACTGGAATTTTTAGTGCAAGAATTATTAGCACATGGATATTTTAGTTCCTGTAGAGAGTCTTTATTTGGTAGACCAGCCCATGTGAATATTTTTCTTTCATTTATTCAGTCACTATTTTCAGTTACAATGCTTTTGTTGTGCTTTATTAATTAATGACCATATAGAACCTTGCTTTGATGTAACATTAGTCTACACATGTGTAATCATTAACAGCAGAACATTGTAGCATGCTCATGTAAGGTAAAAATAGAGACACAAAAACTGGTCAGCAAACCTAGAAATTCAAGTGCTGGTGACTTAAACTTGTAATTACATGATTATCAAGGTTTGCTTGTTGAGAAATATTGGGTGCCATGGGCAGATGCCAAGTTACAGAGTTCACTGAATGTTGGATCACATACATGGAATGCACTGCCACTTTAACAATTAGCCCTCATCTTAAAGTGGGGTCTTAAATGTAAGAGGGAGCATTTACAAACTTTCATAGCGTATATGTATAGTGCTGTAGATGTATTTTGATCATCAAGAATTACAAACTTCTTCACATCTTACAAATTCTAGATCTTCAGTATAATTTAATTTGTAGAGTCAGTATCCTAATGTGACTGTAAATTGGCTTGGCATTACTATTAACAACTGTCTAGCAGTTAAAAGGATGATATTCTTTATGCTGTGCTAGTGATCATAGCTTAAAACCCCACTTTAAACTAGCACATGAAACAAAATAGTTTGTAAATAGATCTCTTCTGTTGGCCTCTACCTTTCTGTGACTGACATATGTATTCAGTATGCTACTGCAGGTATTGTAAATATTTGTCAAAGACTAACCATGTGGTTAAGATGGGTGAATATTGGCCACCTTTGTTTTACTTCATACATATTTATGTCCATTTTCATAATGATATGCAGATCAGCTCCACAAGCAGCCAAATGAAACAAAATGGTCAATATCTAGACTTCTTCATCAATACAGAATTCAATATCAGTTTAAACTTGAACCTTACTACTATGGATAGCTGTCAAGTTTAAACAGTGTGAAAGCAGTAACATCTGATCAATCACCAAGTGAAAAATGCATTTGATTGACTCTCGTGATGGAAAGCTTTTTAAAGATACGATCCAAGCTTCCGAAGCAAATCACAGAACAAATAAAATAAACACAATACCAGACTGAGTGGCTGAAAGGGAATTGTCTCAAATTCAGAAGCAATAAATAACACCCACACAAAGTGATAGCTTGCCTACAATATCCCTTCCATCTTTCAAAGCACCATGACCATGCAGTTTAAATAATCCTAATTAATTTAAACTCACACTGTTAACGAATTTCTCCAAACCATGAAAAAAATTTGACACAAACTTGATTGAAATATATTTGAAAGGAAGTAACAAGGAAATAACAAAAAGCTGTCAGTTAAGTAAATTAGACAAAACCCTGTTCAAAGAAGGGAAAGCATTAAAGACGTTTATGTGCAAACTCTTTAAGACACCTTTGAAGATATTCAGAACATCAGGTTCTCAACAAAAATGCTAAATCCTTAAGAATTATCACCTCACTTTTTTGACTAAAAAAGGACAATGACTGCTCCAACAGCAAGTGTTTGACAATAACTCTCAGGATAATGTAGGGAAGTTAGTTGGTTATGACATCGATAATTATGTGGACAACTTTAGTAATGATGTCATGATGTAACGAAAATTTTCTCAAATAATTTTAAAAAGTGAGGATTCTTTTATTTTAGAAGAATACAAAGCAGTTTCCTAGGAAATTTTCAAGGACAGACACAGCCCTAAATTTTCTAAAAAAAAAATAAGTTCTATATTACATCCTGACCTGTTAGTTAAGAGTTAAAAAAAAAAAACATGAGTAAGGAAATATAGATATTTCATTAAAATTGTCAAATACATCTTGTAGAGTATCAACATTACCTCCATTCCATCACCACACAAATAGCTAAATGTTTTACCTAGTGATTAAGAAAACATGAGTTCTTTTCATGGTGATGGCATGGAAGTTTTGATATCCTTGAGTAAATTTTTTAATTTTACAAATGGCCACCTCAAAAGTTAAAAAAGGTTCTGGTAAGCATGTATATAAGTTGATTTTGCACCTTCAAAGAAGTTAGTCTCTACTACATTCTCCGTTCTTATCAATGCAAAGTGGGGAATCCACCAGATATTAGCACTTCTATTTGGGTGCATCAAGTCTAATGGACTCGATATATATCTTACATTATAGTACATTTTACACATAATATACCGGTACCTCATATCAATAAAGAGCAATTCATTCTTAGCATAAAATTCTCATTCCCTGAGGCCTCAAATTCTCTTCTAACACATTTCTTTATTTGTTTTGGTATGAAATAAGACAAGGTAGCTTCTGAGAGAAAGGTACAGAGTCAAGTGTAAAGTACTGTACCCAAAATGATTAGACACAAAGACTGCAGCTGAGACACCAAGTCTGTAGACATGTTTATTGATGTCTTTGAGGAAATGATCAATTTAGAAGTAGAGCAAATCAGTGATATGACCAACTTGTAAGCCACTTCAAATGGTACCCTTCTTGCATAGCTTGAAAAGTTATGTGAAACTATTTCTCACGCGATTCAAAAAGCTTTGGGCCAAAGCCTAAATATGAATCACTAAAGGTGGCCACATGTAGCTGAAGAGGCACTACCCCGGTTGTAAATGCCTATATCACAAAAAGTGGCCATTTTGCTGGATGTTGAACACACACGTGGATTTTAAAAAAGCAAAGTATATGCTACACACAAAGAGCTAAAATGGAAACTATAATACTAACTGGTAAGTTTTTAGCTGGGACAATTGCCTAATGTATTTTTCCACACTAACATTCTACAGAGATAACTTTAGAGAGCTTTTTCTTCAGTTAATTTCTACCTCCCTTTTGTTTAAGGGCTGTTGAAGACACTGAAATGTACAAAAGTGCAATTTTTTTCCACATGCTGCACAGTATCCTGTTTACTTGCTTGGGTATGTCATCTATTTGTTCATTGAATAACCAAACAGTAGTTGTTCTAAATGATGTGGTACATACATTTAAAAAATTTTTTCTTGACAATCAAATCATAATACACATTCTACTAAAAAACTCAAAATTCAAATGCAACATAATTGGTAGAATCATTTTTTTATGGTCATAAACGATTAATCAATCCAGCAGCTGGGCAGGCACTCTTACATGTGAAAAGTATCAGTTTATTGAGTTTTGCCAGTCAAATAAGATGCTCCTGAGATAATTGAAATCTTGTAAAAATACACCTTTATATTAAGACTCATAATTTGGCACATCTGCTAATTGTTGGCAGATTAGTTTTCATAGGGTGCAAATGTTTCTCCGAAATTTTCCACATAAGAATATTTAACAATTTCATCCTCCTAGTTTTAAGTCAGAAGATATGTTTGAATGTACACCCCACCTAATTCATACATCAAAGAGTGCTGTACACAGTTGATGATCATTCTCACCAAAATAAGTATCCATCGATAATGTCATTATATGAAGAAGGTATCCCTCCTCTCCCTATCAGTTTTTCTAGTGAATTACAGTCAGGTCACCCAGGGGCCAACTCACCCAGACTAAAAAGTTACTTTTCTCTTGCCTTAAGCAGTTTTCATTACTGCAAAGATCCTTCTCATATTCATTTTTAATCCACATTATTATATGGCTGTCTCATAAGGACTCGGAACTACCGAGTTCGTGAATTTGATTGGCTGAAATCAATATTGATAGCGGTCTAGATTTTCCCATCTAGACCGGCATCTAGACCAGTCTAGAAAAAAAAGGTACAAAGAATATAAAAAATTAGCATATAAGACACAGCCACATAATAAACATCTTATTAACTGAGCTAGGTCGGTCTGTACGAGAGAATCTTGACCTCAGTCGCTGGTACAGACCTCACTTTGTTCAGTCTGTACTGGCGACCTCCGTCAAGATTCTCCCATACAGATCTCCTGCTCGGTTAATAAGAACTAAGTTCACATGTACGTTTTTCATACATTCACAGTCATTTACAAACAGAAGTGTTTGGCAACCAGCATACTGTTACATACAAACACCTAGATGCTGGGATCCAAATCCCCAAACAATTACTTGATTTGTATTGCAAAAGCATAAAGTTAACAAAGCATTGTTGAAACTTCGATTATTTTATCATCATTTCACAAAAAATCAGACCTTAAGACTAATTCTATAATGAGCACAGCTAGCTTATTGACAGAAGTGATTTTATGTGTGGGCGAATTGGTGTGGGTGAGCTGGTCCATAAGCAACTTTATTACACGACTCGGGCAGTCAGAGGGCCAATAACTAAAACCATAGTTAGTAGAGGGGACTGGTTAGGAAACGCGGCAAACTTCAAAGGGCCAGCCTATTGTCTGTCCCCTGAGCTTCGCTTGAACGTCACGTGATCAATGACCCTGCACAGAACCAAAACAAACATGGAGGACATGAACAACTTATTTTTCTTCGGGAACGATTTTGATGCCATATTGGAAACTTTGGAGAACGAGGAAGAATACAAGAGCACTTTGTCGAAGCAGCTGACTCTGTAAGTCTTTTAGAAGCCTTTAAAATGATATTTTTGCCCAAAAACTTTGTAGATATTGATGCCCTTAGCAACGGCATCGGTCGTAGTACAACAACATATTTTTTTACTTTAAGTCTTTCGATTTTTAGGTTCAATACGAAGAGGGAATTGTTTGCTAGTTGTGTCAAAATAAATGCAAGACTAAGGCTGGATTAAAAAGACATGACAATAAAGCATAAGGAGGAACAAGTGTGGGGAAATCAACCGACTCAAGAAGCCAAATTCACTGCTGAAGACTTTGAAGTGTTATCAATCAAAGCACGAGATAAAATAATTGAAAGAAAAATCTACCCTCAAAGCGTAAAAGAAGAGCTACGAAGATATACGAACTGGGATGAATAAAATATGGACTTCTCAGAAGTAGAATCCATGTATATGCATTTGGTTAAAACTGGAAATGCAGAACAATTCTACTCGAAATACTATTCAAGAATAGGCCTCAATTCAACAAAAGTTTTTTGTGGGGTTGTCAAGTAATGCGGCAACATTGCTTAGTACCAAAGTGGCTGATTGTTTGATAGCTCACAGCAAACAGAAAGATGAATCACCAAATCCCAATATGCCTACTAAACTGTGTAATAGAGAAATGGCAGGGTTACAATATATTGGAGGATATCTTCTGCACAAGCTTTATAGCAAGGTGAACAATGTATATAATCCCACAGCACATACTGAACAAACAGCTTCAATACTGAAAGCTGGCAAAGCAGAAGATTTGCATGTTGCAGGGAGTCAAAAACTAATTTCATCTTTAAATCGAGGTGGACTTTGGGTTATTTCTAAACAAGCTCAAACAATTTTTAAGAGAATAGAACATAATTTTAGGATTCTGACCTCAGGAAGTCTCCAGCTGAAGATTGACAATGCTAAGATAGAATCCAAATCAGCTTGTGATGTTCAATTGGTCTCAGCATATAACACTATGTTGTTGGACTCAGACATAGTGGTAGATAACAGCATTGCAAAAGATGTTTTGGACAGCATTATTCATTTTTATATTACTGTACGGTGCTTTTTACTGGCCAAAGATGTTATACAGAAACACAAAATTCAATGTAAACAAATGAAAACAAAAACACTACAAAAGGAAATTTGTAGAGCCAGCAAAGAACAAGAAAGGCAGATATAGTTAGAATTGAGAGCCTGCAACAATTTGTCAATATGTAATTTATTACAAAAGATTAATTTGGTAGCTACAACCTGCAACATATCAAATAAACATATTAAATATTGCTCATTAATGATTATTTTATGGACAAAAATGAGTATAAAGGCTATATGGTTAAAGTATCTAACATAGAGTAACATTTATTTTCAGCCAGTCTTCTCGCCACTTCTTGTATTCTGCGTTTCGCGGCACCGGTAGCTTACAGATTCCAATTCCTTTACTTCTCCTACACGTTCCACAGCCAAATACTGAACAATTTTCACCTGGCATTATGTCCACTGACTTGATTAATGTTTTTAGCTATATTTTGAAGGTAAGATGTCGCTCGATCACGGAGAAAATCCAAAAACTTAAACGCTACGTGACTGTCAAAACAAGCCCGCGGTGCCATTTTGGATTTATGTGTGCAGGGTCATTGTCACGTGACCTCGATAAAATCTAACAAAAACCTATCCGACTGAAGTTTGCCGCGTTTCCTAACCAGTCCCCTCTACTAACTATGCTAAAACCAACCAATCATAAATGCTCTATTGCCGGTCAATATTCTCTCAGTATTGGACCGGGCACTGTCCTGAATGGTCCTGAATGATACCGCACTTGTGTTCCTTTGAACTTCAGTCATATAATAAATCTCTTGTTAACCAAGCTTGCTTGGGACCGTACTGGAAGAATATCGGCCCTCGGTCTTTTTTGTATGGACCTCGCTGTGCTCAGTCCGTACTGTCAAGACCTCAGGCCAATATTCTCCCAGTACGGCCCTCGCACTTGGTTAATAAGATATATTGATCAGATATCTCTAGAGCAATTTAAAGGACAAAGGGAAAACCTATGTCTATAGTCACCTTTCCTCTAATAATCTTGTAGACTTCAAATGCACCAGCATCAGTACAAGAAGAAAGTTTCTTTTCCACAAAGTCATTTCAAGTTATTAACACCTCCATGTGTTCATATAAATAATGATATATTTCAAGAGTATTTAAAATTTTAGCTCAAAGGTATTAATCAATGAGAGAAAACCTTAACAATTTCCCCTTGCTGTTATAAATACCCTCCATGGATGCTTATTTGACTGAACACTTATGTGAACCTCTAAAAGCACATTGTTAATTTGTGAGAGAATGTTTAGCCTCTTCAAATAAATCTTTTCATTTTCATTCTTTTTCATTTTTAATGTTAAGTTACAGAAATTTTAATTGTTTCAAAATCTAATGGTTTGGTTTTCTGGTTTCCTCTGCTTTAAAAAAAAAAAAATTCGTGTCCATTGTAAAAAAGACATTCCATGAATTTACAAAAGCTATGATTACAATTGGTGTAAGTAACTGAACCTGCTCAGAGACTACAATAAGCATTTGATCAATTCACCTCACCCACCTAAGTCTTCAATATAACACAAATTTAGGAGCACAACCAATGAACTCGTCATAAATAATTTATATTTGAGGTTTAGCGTCTCATAAGAACATAAAAGTTCTCAATGAACCAGATGAAACTTAAGTGTGAGAAGCGTTTTAAGTAAAGCTACCTGAGTGTTAACCACGGTCAACTCGTTTAATAAAATAGGAGTCTTACCAGGATCGTCCCGGAAGTTTGACGAACTCTGCTTCCTGTTGTAAATGGCCGTAAAGGAATGAGCATAATCAGCCTCATTGATCAACGTAGACAAATCAAATCAAATTTATCTTTCTTATGAAATCAGAAAAGAGCTAGGCGTATGTTCTAAATTGACTTCGGATAATTTTGTTCTTACCATTTTCTCACCAATGAGAAACCTTAATTTTTGGTGCTTTTTAAAGCTCTTTATCCCTACTTACTAAGGAAAACACCCTCTTACCACTGAATGTCATCTCGTTCCACTTGCTGAAATTATCTTTAAACTTGTCATAGTTCACCTCTTCGTTGTCTGCAAATGGTGTCACAATCGGGGGAAAAATCCCACTCAAATCGAGAGAGCTCATAATCGTAGAGGTGGAAAAGCTCGCCGTTTTCCAAAACTTTCTAATTGTATCAGCCTTAAAAACAGCTTCGTTGTTACTCTTGATCCCGAAATAACACCAGTGTCTTCCTGAAATCAGAAGGTTAAGACAGATACTTGAAGGATTCCCCCTTCGAGCGAGGGTTACCGCCATTATGCAAATAAGGCCGTACGCTGACCAGTAGATAATTGAGCTAAAGTTTGGGTCCTAAAAGCGTACAAACTGCAGGTCACATGATTTGCTGTGCAGTGGTTTAAAAAAAAAACTATTTTGGTGGGCAAAACAAACTTGTAAAATCAGCTTTGGAAGACGTGGTAACTGACAATATAATTAAAACTCAAGACTTCATAATAGGGGGCAAGAGTAAAAGGACACTCCACCGAAATTCGCGTAGTGTTCCTTATTGCAGCACATTTTTCCTTTTTAATTCGACTTGCTCCGTTTTCCATCTACAAAGTTTCTTTTGTTTACCTTTTTAGTTTTGATTACTTCCGTCAATAATGGGTTTAGTATTGATTCAATCAACTCAACAAATAAATTGTACTTAGTTTTAATTAAATCAATAGATGAACGAAAGAATAGGCTTCACTTGGGCGGTCTCTTTGATGCGAATTTAATTGTAACTTCAGCTTGTGGTAAGTTTTCCCTATTTCGAGTTCACTCATGATCGGACACTTTTTTAGGTAAGACACCGAAACACGCCTTTGAAATTTCCCAACAGAAACAAAAATCGGTTAATCAGTGCACAAAAATGTTTCTTTTCACCCGAAAAAATTATTCCTCTATGAGTTTTTACATCAAGATTTTTAAGGCACGTGCGTAAAGGACTTTGTTACTAAGACTAACAGTTCTCCTGGGTGTCGGCAGTATATTGTTATTTTAAGTCACGACACACACGAATACGAAGTAAATAGCGTTTTATTCGGACCTTCGCCAGTTTAATAGCAAAGCAAATACACAAAGCCCCATCTATGTTAAAATTGCAAAGCCTCCTTAATTAGGTACAAAAAGTAAACAAGAAAACATCCTGATGCTCTTAGAGGAATCATAACTTCCGGTGAATACTGCTGCCTTTAGTTGATTTAAAGTCTTAGTTGATTTTAAGTCACCTAAAGTTATGCTCTCCTCGCGTGAAACAAGCAATCGATTTTGTGGACGATAGATAGTCTTCTAAAATATACCAAAGCTGATCTGCTCGATTTTCAGTGATGTAAGATTAAAATCCCTTTTTTCTTGTAAGAACTGTATAATCCTTTCTTAGTACACTAGGAGCCAAGATGGTTTCGCGTGTTTTACAAGCTGCAGCGGTATTGTGTAACTCGCCCTTTGAGGACTAATGTTCCGCAACTCTGTTTATATTTGTTTCAATAATTGGCCTTATTTGGAGTACTTACGGTATGCCAGCGAGAAATAACACGAAAAAAAAAACCGTCTTACGTTGTTGAAACAAAGAATCTTCATGAGTCTTGCTTTCGCAGCGTTTTCATCGCGTGGGGCGATAATCAAGTACAACTGTCCGCCGTACAAACATGATTTTTATTGACTCCAACATGACAAAGTATGCCGACAAGCAAAGTGATGGGTCTGACATAAATCTTCACAAAGGATGGCGAAAGATAAGATATACCTCGTGGATTATTAGTATGTAACAGGTTAAGGTTTTTCCACAGCAAGAGATCTTAACATGACGTTTCCGTTTCTAACTTTTTATTTGGACGTAGTTCCGTACCACCTCTGCGGATCATAACCCGGCAAAACCCGACACGGTTGAATGATGTCTGAAGAGGTGAACAATTAGCTTTAAAAAGAACAAATTGAAAAGTCTAATCTGGTTCAATAACATTTTGATCAGCACACAGAAAATTCTAAAGCGGTCGCCTTTGTTCGAATTAAAAAAACATACATCAAAAAAGCTTTCCTGAGAGACCTAAGTGATCTTGTCGAGGGTCTGGATCTCGCTGTAGGAAATACTTGGACCGAGGTTGTTGAACTGTAAACGCCTTGAACTGATGTTTGTCATCTAAAAGCGGAGATTGTAAATGGACCATAAGGCATATTGGCCCGGTGAATTCTGTTGGCCTGTAAGCATTCACTATGCCACACGATGTAGGTAGGAGCGCATTTGACGATATCATGCCAAGCTCTTCATTAAAGGTGAGTTACAACAGTTTGAGAACTTTTCTTGCGACCGAGATCAAATTCTTGCGCGCGGACATGTCTTCATTATGGTAAAGATCTCGCATGACTTTAGTTTATTAGCCCACTACGTTTTCAATTAGGGCACAATATGCCGGAGACAGTAAATATTTTTAAAGTGAAAGGAACAACAAACTCATGAGAACTGAACTTCTTCGATTCGAATGGCAACTCTTATCGGTTCATAAAGAATAAGCATATTTTTGAATGACGAGTTTAATCCATACCCGGTGGACACAGCATGCAGGTATCGCATCAGTCTGATTGATCTTCAGTCGCACCGTTGTTCGTCATAATCGTTAGTAGATCAGTGAAAAATGCTCAATTTAATTTTCAATCCGTTCTTATGGGAATTTCATGTAATTGACTTTGCCATGCAACGCGGAACTTTCTTTTTATACCTTAGGAAAAAATGCGAGTTAACCAACTAAAAAACAACAGTAAGACCAATTAAAACCCTTATCGTTGCGAACTCACGCTTAATTCTGTACACTGATTACACCCTCATCACACAAATATTACTAATTCAATTAAAGTTTATAAGAAACGAAAGTAGAATCATTCACTAGCTTTTTGTGAGTGAGAAACAACAGCGTTATCTTGCACTATGAGAAGATTCTAACTTTAACTCAGCTTTCATACCAAAAGAATAAAAAATGTATCGTTTGAACCACAGAGATCGCCAGGCCAGTTTTGTGTTTTATATAAACGTTGCATGTCTATTAACTACACTGTGCTATAGAAAAGTGAAAGAGCTTGGCATGATTACTTTTTTCGCTGGCTTAGGCTTAAGTCACTCCGCGAACGTATGCCGCGCCACACGTAGAGCAATCCATACAAAGTATAATGCCTCCCAAAGCATTATTGAGTTCATTTCAAATGCAAAATTAGGGTGAGGTCAATTATTCGGAAGAAAGAATGAAGCTTAAATTTAGGAAATATGTAAAAGTCAATCCGCCTCTGTGTAAGTTTAGAAAAGTCTTTTAGACAGAACGGTATCGAAAAAATCGAAGACAAAATGAACATGTTATTTGGTATCTTAGGGCAAGGGATAGCATGGGGTACTTTTAAAGCTAGTCACTTTAAAAGTCAGACATTTTATTTTTATCACTGACCACCTATTTTGAAGTATGCTTTCGGAGCAAAGCTGAATGCAGTCAAAATATTGTCCTCTGTAAAAAGTCAGGCATGGCCCTAAAGCTCATAACTATACTTTCTTCCACTTAACGTGCATCGAAATAATTCATTCACCCCGTTAATTTTATCCAGCAAAATGCATGGAATGGATGTGATCAGCTTTAGGTTTGCAGTGGTGTACTGCTCGCAAACTGGCACTTAGTGTAAGCCACTTGACTCACAGTGTGAGAACCCCACGAAAGAAATGCCTGATTTTGTCCAAACACCGATAAATTCTTGTCGGTTGTCGACTCAGCTGTTAGATATGAATGATTCGAGTCAATCCACTCACCGTTACAGAGAAGTCATTCTCCAGGTGCTTGGTATACTCATAGGCGATTGGGTCCCGGTGTACGTATGCCACCATAAGCAGCAGCAGCAGAAACAGAGAGTAAAAAAATATATCAGTCATGACTTCGGAAGACTTGATTTCTTTCATCCTTTTTATTTTCGCCTTTTCCAGTATATTTCTCTGCAATGGCTTAGAATTATCCCATGGTATACTATCCTCAGATTGAGCTTCAATTAAGCGACATTTTTCACCGCTGTTATTTACCTTGTCTTTTTTCCTCTTAAAATGTTGGCGCTTCTCTTTTTGCTCAATGGTAAATTTGACGACAAAGGCGATAACGGCCGAAATATT